TTGGGGGTCATATTACTTTTTTTCTGCTAAGGATTTTAAACTCTGTTCTCAGTGAGGCTGAGAATTAGTCTAGCATGTTTCTCAGTCTGCTTTTTCATTTTTACTTGCATAATGAAAGCACACTCAAGAGGAGAAATAGCCCCTGCAGCGACTCCCCAGTGCCTTCTCTCAGGGGCTGTACTTACTCATTTTTTTCTCTCTATCCGGTTTCTAGGCGTTCAAGCTGAAACTTTCACTGCCACTGAGTCACCTGCTGCCCTGAGCATGTTGCTGGTTATTCCATCTGAATAAAAAGAGTAGCTCACATTTATTTATTAATATATACAGGTGTCTATTTTATAAGGCACGTTGAAATACATTATCTGACTTGAGTCTGACTTTCGGCTATTGTAAAATATGCTGCAATGAACACTGCTGTACAAATATCTGTTTGATATTTGACAATGTTTACTTAGTAGGTAAACATTATTATCTCTATTTTATAGATTAGAAACTAAGATGTAAGGAGGTGAAGTCATTTTCCCAAAACCATACGAACTAAGTGGAAGATGCAGGATGAAGACCTTATCTTTTTCTCATATTTTCTTATTTATTTATTTATTTTTTTAGTACTTGGCTATAGTCAAATTCTTTCTGGTTCCTAGTAATCAGACTGTAAGTTTTCAAAAAATATGCCTAAGGAAGCTAACAGAAAATAAAAAGGAAATAAATGTGGGAAAAACCAAAGTTTAAATCTGATGAAGACAGATAAATTTCTAGCCCTAACTCTGAACCACATAGTTCTTCACTGATTTGTATTCACTTTCTTTTACTGCATAAGAAATCACCACAAACGTAGAAGCTTAAAATAACAGGCACTTATTAGCTCACAGGTCTGCGGGCCAGGCAGGTTTTGAATCTGGCATGGCATAGCTGAGTTCTCTGCTCAGGGTATCACAAGACTAAAATCAAGCCTGTTAACCAGGCTGGCCTCTTCTCTGGAAGCTCTGAGGAAGACTCTATTTCAAGCTTATTCTTATTCTTGGCAAAATTCAGTTCCTTGTGGTTGTAGGACTGAGATTCCTGTTTTCTTGCTGGCTGTCAGCTAGAGGCTGCTTTCAATTGCTAGAGCCACCCACATTTCTTATCAGGTGGTCCCCTCCATCTTCAAGCTAGCAAGGGAGCCTCAAATCCCTCTCATGCTTCAAATCTTCAACTTCCCCTTCTACAACAAGCCAGAAGAAACTGCCTGCTTTTGAAGAGCTCAGATGATTAGGTCCAGCTCCCCCAGATAATTTATCTTAAGGCCAACTGTGCTGAATTAATATAACCTAATGATAGGAGAAAAATCCATCATATTTATAGTCCTGGGGATTACGCAGGGTGTGTATACCAGGGTCAGTGTGGGAAGCAGCGGGGTAGGGGTGGGGTGGCAGGGACATCTTAGAATTCTGTCTTCTGGAGAAAATAACTATTTGAAGAACACAGGCTCTGCTTTTGTCCATCATCTTAAGTAACACCACAGGCTGTAGTAACCCTCCTATAAGGCCTGTAGGGATCCCTAAAACCTCTCCAACACGAATGTTGATTCCCTCTCTGAGTGTGGCTTCAGACAACCACACTGGACTTTCAGTTGCTCTCAGATGTCTAATAGACCATTCCTGACTCTAGCCCTAAGAATTCTTAAATCTCTCTTTCTCCATGCTGCCAAAGGTCCTTTGGCTCCCAAATCTTGAAAATTCTATTCTCATTCCTGACCCATCTCTTTCTGCTCTGGGTGGCTTGCCTCAGTAGCAATCACTAACTGATAACAGTGGTCTCTGCTCCATGGGGAACTTGAGTGGCCTGGGTCCTATCCCACTTTCTGTGTAGCATAAGATACTGCATTATCCTTGGGCTCTGGAAGTTACTGTGATTTTCTCTCCATATCCTGGGCAGATTAACATTAATGAAAGTGTTGTCCTCCCAACTGCCCACCACCCACTAAGGCACCTCCCAGCTATTTTTCATTTCTGATGAGGGCCTCAGTGAATTCTCATTGAAACCTCACTGAAACCTCATTTGTTGAGCTGGGTGACAGACATCACAGGATCTGATCAATACCACAGTCTGCTGCTTCTGACCATGATTCTCTCTAAATAATAAGGTAGCGTGCCTGCCTCAAGGAAGGGATCTTTTAAAATGAAAGCTTTAACATGTTATATTATGTGCCCACCATTTTCTTCACTGACTTATCGTATGCAAGGATTATGGCAATACAACCAGGGAAGTATTCTTAGACACATTTTGCCAATGAAGAAATTGAGGCTCAGGAAGTTCAAACCACTTGTCTAAGGATACAGAACGAATAAGTGACAGAAGCAGCGCAGTTCCCACCTCTTCCACTCCTGTGACTACTTGTTCTTAGAGAATCACACACACACTATGAGAATGCCGAGAACACAGCGAGAGCAGTGTGAGGCTCTCATACTTGGGCGTCTCAGCGCTGTGTCCCATGTTCTTTTAAAACCTTTGTTTTAGGAAACGTTCTGCAGCAGTCATTTCTGCACTCTGTATCCTGTTCCATCGCTGTGGCTGCCACTTGCACATCCCAGCAAAGTGCTGCACTGTGAAGGATTTCACAGGGACTCAAACAGCAAAACAACTCTTAAAAAGTTTCCCATAAAATGCCATATGCAAACATCATGTGTGGTGTGCACATTCTGTGCAGTGGCACAGTGTCTGCTTCCTGTGTGGATGCATGGGGGTAGCTGTGTTTGGGGGTAGCTTTAGGTACCTAGGCAAACATGTTGGCCCGACACCCCTTACTCTTGGGTGTAGAACAGATCTACAACAGAAAGGGGCTGTGGCAGGAGTGGATTCCTTTGCTCTGACCTTGGTAGACTCAGCACTGCCACTTCATTTTTCCTAAGAAAGACTCTGCTGGCAAGTCAGTCTTAGCACCTGCCAAGAGCACTGTTTCCTTCTAGGGGAATCTTCCCAGCCCCTGGCCTCGGCTAGGGCCTCAGGCAGAGTGGGGCCGGCCAGGCCCTGTATCCATTCTTCTCATCTTAGACAAGAAGGAGGAAACTGATCCAAGGGCAGCAGGTCCGTAGACTGACCAGCAACCTGTAAGGTGGCCAGGCATGGAATCTCTTTCCTATCAGGAGCAGTGTGTTTAACTAGACCAATCAAATTCTCATTCTTGGAAATTTAAATTGGAAATTACAGAGAGAACCAGGCAGCTGGCAGAAAGAGAAAACAGCAGATGCAAAAAGTGAGACAACGTGAGAGTAGTGGGACCACATTCATGGTGAAAGCTCGGAACTGGGAACTCCTGAGATGGGTGAGGAAGATGAGGCAGCCCCATGCTTAGAGTGGCCAGGGATCCCGAACGCCTTCCTGATACCTCTCTCTGACACCTGGCTGGATTTCTGTCTCTACTCTGGTATTACAGTGAGATTTTAATCTCTTTAATTATATCAATTAGGATGCTTTTGGCTGCAAGTAACACAGAACCCAACTAAAAGCAGTCTTCATGAGAAAAATAAGTCATCTCACTCCATAAGACAATCCTAAGCACTTCCCTGGCTCCTTGGGTTGGCTAATTTAGCGGCTCAACAATGTCATGAAGGCTCCAGGTGTTTCCTGTGTCCTCCCAACACCCTCTATTTTACTTGTCCTTCTAGCCTGCTTTCTCTCATAGTATCAGAAGCCTGCAACAGTTCCAGACGATGACATCCAGAGATGAAAAAGGGAAAAAAGGAGTGTACCTTTCCTGTGCCCCTTTTAAAGAGAAAGGAAAATACTCTACCAGCTCCCCAGCAAGCTTCTCCCACATCTCATTGGTCAGAATTGCACCCTCTGCCCATCCCTAAATCACTGGGGCCAGCAGGGAGGAGCCACCTGAAGCACAGGGTAGCTCTATCCCTTACCCCAGTCAATGTCAGCCCTCTGTTAGCCAAGGAGAAAGCAAACAGCACTGTCTGCTCCACTTACTACATCATCTACCAAACAATAGCGCTCCATTTGATGAGATGACCTGGTAACATCTGTTTCCTTCAATTCAGAGAATCAGCTAATGCCCAGATCGATCTTAGCAAGTTGAAGACCTGTTCTTCAGTAGGTACTGTCAGACAACAGTTGAGAGCTGAGTGGGTATGTAACTATAATATTATGTAGAGTCCTAAAGTTTCCATCACTTTCTAATATTTTATGGGGCCTCAAACACAACAGAGACTGCAAGGGATGAACCTGCCACGCTGCTGCTAACTCTGGGCTTCCTGGTTCATTTCTTGCCTCCTCAGCCCTCCTAAGCAGTGATGACATTCAGTCTTTCAATACAGGGCTTGCTTCTAGCCGATATGTAGGCTTTTCTGGAACAGTGTTTTTCAAAACTCCTTCATGTATCAGACAATCTCTTGGAGGGCTCCTTAAAAATTACTGGGCTCAAAAGGACAACATATGAAGGTTAGGGACTTCCTGAGCAGAAATGGGCAAACTTCAGTCCTTTTACTGTGATTCTGCTGTATTCTGTAGGTAATTCCATTAATTTGTAAATTTAGTGACAATTAGTTAGTGGTCATTTAATGGGTGGCAATTCTAACAGTATAAAGTTCTCAATGTCCTATGTCCCTCGCCTCCCATTTTTCAGCTGCATGTAAAATTGGGTAGGATGAGATATTTGATCATTATAAAGATTTAACTATTTTATGCTGAAGCAGCCATATTTTCATGGGATGAAACCACCTCGCACACAACAATGAAGGTAGTCGGCCACAGACTTGAAATAAGATCATATGTGGGGAGGAGATTCTTTTAGTTAGCCTAGTATTGCTGTACTGGCCTGTGTGTACATGGCGTCCTTCAACTGAGGCCTTGCAAGGCAAGTGGGCTGTGCCAAGTTTGTAGATGGGGCAGAGGAAACTAGAACAATGGGAAAGTAAGCTATTGATGTTAGGTCCAGCTATTGAAACAAGATAAGAATGAGGCTAGGGTCTTTAACTTCCCTAAGGCATACGTTTCCAGCTACCTTCTGCCCCATGTCCGGCACCTACATCCGTGATGATTGTTCTGTTTGATCCATTCAGGATTTACATATCTATATCTATATCTATATCTATCCATCTATATCTATCTATATATATATGACAAGCAAAAAAAAAAAAAAAATTGCTGGGCTCTACCCTCAAAGCTGATCCAGTAGGCCTAGGAGGGGGCAGCTAATATGCATTTCCAGCTGGTTCCCCGGTGATGCTTCTGCTGCTCGTTTGGGCACCACACTTTGAGAAGCCTAGGGGTGGTGCTAATCTTCATTCCAAATGGAAGGGAAGCTGCTAAGGAGTCCACTTAAGTAAGTTTTCCTGCTGTGAAGATTTGTTTCCTTGTCACTTGCTGTCAACACCCCTTCACACAGCAGTGGCTGACCGGCTTACTTCTCAAAGTGGAGGCCTCTCAGTAGAGACAGTGGACACTTCTTTGCTCCTGGCAGGAAAGGGAAAGGAGAAGGGACCTCAATCTTTGGTTGGCAGAGCCTGACTAGGCAGCCGGGCACAGAACCCTACGGCTTTCCCACCCCTTTGTTTTCTCACCTATAAAACGAATAAAGGTGCCGGTCCTGCCAGTTTCACAGGTTGGGGTACATAGAGGAATGGTTGGTTGAAAGGGCCCTGCATAACTCAAAGCTCCTTAGGACTCGCAACAGCCTTAATCGCAGTAAGGGGCACATCAGGGCAGTAGGAAGGCCCTCTTGGGGGCACGGCACAGGTGGTTGGGGGCTCCCTGTGCTTGCCAGTCTCCTAAAGCAGGTGCCCGCTTTCCGAAGTTCTTTCTGCACACCCCACCTGGGGCCTCTGCTAGAGGCCTGCCTGAGCAGGGGGTGCACGTGGGCGCTTGAGGATTTCTTTTGCGGGGAACGAAACCGCCGTTCCTTTCCGTCCGCGGTCCCCATCCCACGTAAGTGCCGTGGAATCCCGAGGTGATGAGCCGGGGAAGCCGGCATCTCCCCCGCTCCAGTGCCGGCGCCTGGCAGAGCCCCGGACTCGGAGTTTTCTGCTGGGCCCCGTCGCGGAAGGAGGGCCCGGGCTGCCCTGCACAACGTCTCCGCGGAGCCCTGGGGGCCGCTCAGCTCCTGCAAACATGATTCAGAACCGCGCGTCAGCCTTGGCTCCAGCGCCTGGCGCGAGCGAGCGGGGCTTGGCTGCCTCGGCCCCGTCTGAACCCTGCGGGCCGCGGGCCAGGGCGGGCCGAGAGCCGCCGCGCCAGGACCCTCTCCTGACGCCAGGACCCTGCAGACCCGGCAGCAGCCGCGCCGAAGGCCTCCCTCCGGGGCCTCGAGCCCACGGTCCATGCTTGCAACGCCAGGATTGCACGGCGGGGTCCGCAGTTGGGTTTGAGCCTGGGACTCGGGGCGCCCTGCGCTCCGCGTGCCGCACCCCGCGCCCTCACCCCAATCGAACGGGTCCTGGGGCTTCACCAGCAAGGCCGGAGCCCCAGCCCTACTGCCCCCTACCCCCGCACTACCCCTCTGCACTGGGACGGGAGTCAGGGACAGGGGCCGAAGAAAGGAGACGTGTTGGCCCCCCAGGCTCCAGCCGCGTGAGGTTCCTGATGTGTGCAGCTGTGTGGCGCCCGGCTTCCAGCGTGTTCATGGTGGGGGCTCCCTCTCTGTGAGTCGGTGGGCAGGGATTTGCCTTGGAGGGTGGCACCTGGCTACAGAAGTATAAGACTTCGTGTCCGGTGAGCAGAGGGGCCTTTGGATAAGGAACTGAAGCTTCTGGGGGTCAGTCTGGAATCTTGGTTCCACCAATTATCAGCTGTCCAACCCGGAGAAATCCACTCCTCCTCTCTGTTTTCTTGGTTATAAATAACTATGGCTACCATTTGAGTGCTTATTATTTTCCATGTACTTTACATATGTTATTTTTATCTTTCCAACTATTTTGCAGGCCATATTCTGCTGATGGGGAAATGGGATCTTATCCAGGGAAAGTGACTTGCCAAGGTTATACCACTTGTAAGTGGAGACCTATGACTTGAACCTGTCTCTAACTCCCGAGACTGTACTGTCTCTGTAAGTGAGAACATGACACCGTACAAAGAATTTTAAAACTGTAAGATGGTGACGGATACCATTCTCTTCTGATCTGTCCTCAGGCCAGGTCCTGAAGTTCAGGCTGAAAGCATGACCTTTCTTTCTCCCTCCCTCCTCAGCCACACTTCCCTAGGAGGGTCATAGTGCAAGAGGCAGGGTCTGGGATGGGGCACTCCTGGGTCAGCTTGGCCCCACTCCCCCACCTGGACCCTCTCCATCCTCATTTCTAGGCCACACTACTCAATGTCCTTGAGTGAAACCAAAGGTGGTTTCACTGTTGTGTGGCCTTTCTCCCCCACTATCAGTTGCACAAAGGATTTTCTCCTCTGCTCAGAGTGGGAAGAAGACCCCAGCACCCAGTTTGGACTCTTAGGAAGCCAGCAGTGCCTCAACTTCTTCTGATGTGTTTAGAATTCACTCTGCAGAGAAAATGGGTGGACTCTTGGGGAGAGGAGAGCCTGAGTGTCAGAGAAATTTGGGTGCCAGTCTATTGTAAGATGGAATCTATTGATAATGCCACCACCAGTCCTGCTTGACCTCACAAGAGTTGTGGTAAGATTCAAAACAGATAATGGCCACACAAGTGCTCTGGGAAGTGGGAAGTGCCTAAGGTGGTATTATTCATGGAAGCCACAGCGGGCAACAGGAATACAGAGATGAATGCCATCTTGGAATCTTTCAGGCTAGCAGGGGAAATACAATTGGCTATACAAACAGTTAAAATGTAAAACGGCATGCAAATGCTCTACCAATATGTCCACGTGGTGTAGACTCATACTGATTTTGTAACAACAAAGAATATATACAGTTCGATCTGAGTAACCTCTATTACTCTTGCAAGAATGCCTTTTCTTCGCAGTAGCTCTAGCCAATCTGTCTCCTCTCTCCAGTGAGCCTCCTTCCTACCACTTGAGTGATCTATGGCAGGAATTTTTTTTTTTCCTTCAGGGTGTGTTTGTATTAGTTCCCTATTGCTGCTGTGATAGATAACCACACACGTAGTGGCTTACAACACACATTTGTTATCTTACAGTTCTGGATGTAAGAAGTCCAAAGTGTGTCTAAAATCAAGGTGTCAGCAGGGCTGTTCCTTTAGGAGGCTCCGGGGAAGATTCTGTTGCCTTGCCTTTTCCAGATTTTCGAAGCCATCTGCATCCCTTGGTCTGTGGCCCCTTCTCCATCTTCAAAGCTATCCATGACCAGTTGAGTCTTTCTCCCATGGAATCACTGCCACCTCTGCTTTTGTGGACACATCTCCTTCTCTGCCTGACACTCTTTTCTCCCCATCTCAAGAAATAGAAAGTGTTCAACTCTTCCTCTTCTTCAAATAGGTAACATAGCAACTTTTTCTATGACTAACAAATTCTGAAAAAACCCCACCATTTTTCAGTTCCTAACTACCTCCCTAAAAAACCAGACTCCCTGGTGTCAGGGAAGAAGAAACAATGGGTGATGCTAAATAGCCTCCACATAAAAGGAAAGGGAAAGGCTCCCTAGGTTGGGAAGTCCTAATATGTGCCTCACTGGGATGTAGGTACAGCCCTTGGAAATATTTGTTGTTAACAATTGTCCACAGCTCTTCAGCTGCTCTACTTTATAATCCTTTGGTGCTGTAGACGTCTAAAACATTTTTAAAAGAAATCAATAAACAGTATTTTTTAGAACAATTTTAGGTTCACAGCAAAATTCAGCAGAAAGTAGAGTTCCCTGTCCCTACATCCTCCTCCCACTTGAAACATTTTTAAAGCATTAATAGAATTCTTGGCTCCTTTTCTTTCCCCAAAAGAAATTCCTGCATCATAAAAAATAAAATCGTGCTGCTCTGGTTCAAGTGGACTCATGGAGTCCCTCAACCTCTGTAAATCCTACCGCATGGTTTAAAACCTGTTTTGCAGTTAACTTCTCTGAGTGGACTAATGAGAATAACTCAAGTTAGAAAGTACCCTCTGGACCACAGAAGTAGGGAGACTGTCATGTTGGAAATTCTCCAGGCTTCAGAAGCAAGAAACGTCATAATATTCTCCCAGGAATTGGAAAAGAGCAAGCTCTTGTTCTGACACTTGGTTTCCTCACCTCTGCTACGCAACATAGACTCTTTTAGGCCATGCATCTGCTTATTTTAGTTACAGTAGTGAAAGAGCCAGTGGGCAAGACGGTGAAAATTACATGGACCCAGAAATTGGGGACTGCATGGGGCAGCTCGGATCCATTCATTACATATTTATGGAGTCCCTATCATGGACGGATTCAGATGTAGGGGACGTGTTGATTAAGACCTAATGTGGGCCTTTTCGTGTTCTGGATCAGTTTAGTGAACAAGCCGGTGAGGTTCTGTGTGGGCTATCCTGGAATGCAGTGTTGCACAGGGTTGTGTGAGAGGTGCAGGGAAGGCCTAGAAAACTTTGCAAAGAGAATGATTTCTAAGCCAACACCTAGAAGACAAGCAAGAGTTCGCTGGGCAGAGAGAGAGGCTGAGCGAGGCTGGGCGAGGCTGGGATCGTGGAGCCAGACGTGTGCAGCCGGGACTTGGGGAAGAGCTGCAAGGAGCGTGGAGCATGGTGGAGAGCAATCAGGGCCAGACGATGCTGGTGGGCCTGGAGGCCTTGGGAGCGCTGACTTTTCTCCAAGAGCTGGGATGCCAGGACAGGGTCCCAAGCAGGGGCCCAGCGTGGCCTGGTTTGCTCTTCACTGGCAAGTTCCGTGGCCCTGGGCAATGCGCTTCTCCCGTTTTTTCCTTCTCATCCGTGCCTGGTGTTTTTTTCTTCTCATCGGTGCCTGGCCGAGCTCTGGAGTCGTTTTCTGCTCTGGGCCTGAAACTTCAAGCAGTGAGAGGACGCAGTCCACAGCGCCGTTCCCACGGCCGTCTCCCAGGCCCCGGGCCTCCGGGTAGGGGGACTTCTGTCTGTCAAGGAGGAAGGCGACCTTGCTCAGGCTGCAGGAGGCGGAGGGACGTGACCCGGCGGAGGGGCCTTCGGCTGCGGGTGCGACAGGGGCTCCGGGCTCGCGGCCTTCCCGCCGGCCGGGGAACGCGTCCCCAGCCGCAGCCGCATCTCGCCGCCTCTATCGCATCTCTAAGGCCTCAGAGGGAAACTGCCCGGCCCGGAGGCCTGAAATCCGCCCTTTGTTACCTCCCGGGACGTCAGAGCCACAGCTCACCAAGGGCGGCAGCCTCGGCAGCCGGAAGCGCGGGCCAGGAGCGGGGCCAGCGGCAACTTCGGGTCTGCGCAGGCGCAGGCCGGGCCAGCGCAGCCGGGTTTCTGCGGCCCGCGGCTGCCCTCTCGTGGCCGCAAGGCGCCATGGCACGGCCGCTTCCACGCCGCGGAAGCCGGCGGCGGGCGGGAGCCGGCGGCTGACGGGAGGCGGTGGGGCGGGCCGGCCGGGAGGCCAGCCAGACGCTGTGTTTTTCCAGGTCCGCGCGGGCCAGGGGAACCCTGCGCGTTTGCCTGGTGGGAGTGGTTTACTGGGAAACTAGACGGAAGGTATCCTGCAAATCGGCATGCACTGTATTGTTTAGGAGCTAGCAGCCTGGAAAGTAAACACCAGGTGAGGGCAGTGCTGGGAACCACCGCCCGCCCCCTCCGCCGGCCCTCCCCGGCCTTGGCCCTGACCCTTTCTGCCCACCCCACGGAGGCATCCTACGCCCCGACGAGTCACCATTCCAGAAAGGCCAGCTTTCTGCAGGGCGGGGGTGGGAGTGGAGGGGTTGCTCAGGGCCCTCCCAAGCATAACTATCTGAAGGGCACATCCCACAAGGGAAGGTTTAGGTGAGAGGGGTGAGCGCACAGGCTGGCGTGGGAATCGTGGTCCCGTTCCACGCCGGGAGCCACAGTACATACAGTTCTCTTTAGATTCATCGTCACCAGCCGGGTGTGCCTGAGTCTTCTCCTATCTCCTGATTGTGCGTTTGTCCTTCAGCTTTTTGCGCCCCACCCTGTTCTTGTGTCAAGAAGTCGCCTTGGAATGTTTCCTCGTCCGAGGTTTGAAGATGAGTCACGAAAAACATCACCCTGCTCTTGCGGAAGTGCGCGTTGCCGGCTCGGCCTTTCCACCTGCATGCCCCAGGATGGTTTGCTAAGGAGCTGGCTTCTTCAGGGCTCCGCTCTTTTTCATGCCCTTCTCAGTTCCAGACTACATCCCACTGATGGACATTATCCTGTACCCGCCGGGGGAGGAGGGTGGGGGAGAGTTTCTGTGCCTGGATTCTTGGTGGAGGAGAGCAAGTGCAGAAACGAAGCTATGACTTTTGCAGAAGTCATGCATTCCGTTCAAGGATAGTCCTTTCTGTAGCCTCCACACATTCCCTCTCGCTGCAGGCCCCTGGGATTTTACTGTGTGACTCGCTCATATGGCGTTTGCATAGATTATCAAAGCACCTCATGACTGTGGAGGAAGAAGTCCGGGACAGAACATGGGTCTGGAAGGCTTGCAGCATGGACTTGGTCAGGTGACACAATGTCCCATGTTCTTCAAGAAGTGTCTAGACTAGGTGACTGATTCTATTGGAGATCTGGCACAGTGCTCTTGCCACACAGCGGGGCAAATTGAGATCCAGAGAGAAGTGACTGGCCCAGGTCACTCAGCCAGCTGGTGACTGAGCTGGAATTCATTCCCAGGTCTTCTGACACCCAGTTCATTCATTTTTTGCACGTTTCCAAGGATTTACTGTATGCTAGGCACTGTTCTAGGTGCTGGGAATACACAAAGTGCCTGTATAGAGCTTGTGTCTTGTAGTGTGCATGTGGGGAGATTGTGGATAAACAAACAGATTTATCCAGAATGCCAGGTGGTTAAAAGTTTTGATGATACTCAGTGCCTCTTCTCCTCTTGTTTTTGAAGGGAATGGGTTTGAGGCTTGGGAGATGTTCACTCACACATTCGGTCATTAAATAAACATTAGAGGATGTCTCACTATGTGCCAGATGCTGTGCAGGGCACACAGATATACAGGCAGGGTCCGCCT